TTTTTTGGTCAGTGGTTGGAGCACTTAGCTGGGATGTGGGAGTCTGGGTTTCAGGTCCCTTCCCCCTGGCTGAGAAAGGATTTGAACAGGCATCACCCACCTCTTCAGTGGGTGCCCTAACTGCTAAGCTATAAGAATCATTCTTGCACTTGCTTGGGCCCAATGATGATTTAATTGTTATTATTAATTATTTATAATTAAAGAGTCATTGGGCCAGAGGTAGATCAAGTCAGAGAATGCCTCTTTAGCTTGGTGATTCGTGCATCAAGGCACGACAACTCAAGGTCCAGTACCCCTGTTCAAATTACTCCAATTGTTTAGCCACAGTGGAACAGCTTCAACAGGCGAAACTGGGGGATCTCTACATCAGAATATCCTGTAGCTCAGTGGTTAGAGCTGAGCAGGACAGCCCTTGTTCACACCTTTTCTGCTCCTGGCAGAGAGGGGGAAATGAATCTGGGTCTCTCACATCTTAGGTGACTGCTCGAACCACTGAGTTAAAAGATCACCCCGATTGCTTCCAATTTGTATGGACTGAGGCAGAAGCCTAACTCATTCACACAAGAAATGTCCTCGGAACCTGAGGCACCTGACTCCAGGAGAGAGGTTCTCAGCTGTGAATTGCTAGCAGCGAACACTATCTGAGAGAGGGATGGGGTTTAGGCACACTCCTCTCATCAGCATCTCCCATTGGCTAGCTTAGGTGAATCCCTGCCTAGCTTCATGTCTTTTGTGAATTGCAGTCTAAGGCACCTATCTCTCCCCATTCATTGTAAAGGGACCCTAAGTGTGTATCAGGCTTTACAGAGTGCAGTGTTTCTAGGCACCTAAAAGTAGATGTTGCAATGCTCAGTATCACAACGCCTAAGTCTCTCTGTGACTCTAGCGCTGAGCTCCCACTGAGAGAGTTGGGCCCCTCAGCTGGGAATCTCAAAGTTCTTAAAGGCACCTAAATCCAAGTCTGTCTGAAAATCGAAGCCTTAACTCCCATGTATACCTCCCCCTGCTTGCCTAAAGCTGATGCTCCTAAGTCCATACTGAGGATCTAAATAAAGGTGGCTTGATTTTTCAAAAGCGTTGAGCATCCAGAAGCTGCCATTCAAGTTTAATAGAAGCCGCAGAATGTTTAACTTTTAAAAACTAGGCTGCCTATTTAGATACCTAAGTATGGATTTAAGACTGTAACGTTAGATGTCCATTTTAATCAAACCTTATCCAAAAAGTCTTGAAAAAAGAGACAAAGGGTTAGAGAAAAATATAAGAGGAAACATTAGAATAAGATATTTTTAAAAGACACAAAAATATGTTTATTAAACAAAAATACAACTAGGCAGAGAAGAAAAGGTAACGAAATGGGCTGCTTTTTTTTTTCTTTGAGTTATCTATATGAAATAGAAGCGGCCAGAATTCACTACATTGGGAAATTGGTATTTTTTGTGCTTTCTTTGTTCTAGATAAACTGAAAAAATATATTCAAATATTATAAAAATAACTTGAAAAATTAGACTAAACATGGGAAATTTGAGCCCTAAAATGAGAATTCAAAAAAATTATGGGTAAGTAAATAAAACTTTTATAACACAAACTGGTTTGCTAACTTAACTACTGCACTGTACCAGCAAAAGCTATTTATTATCTCGATGGTCAGGATAAATTAGCAGTGTATGTTTTTTTAAAGTGCTTTACATGGTTTCTTATTTTGAAAAGAAAAAAAAAACCTTACTTTTCATAGGGATCATATCTACATCTGCACTGGCCGCTGCAGAAGTCACAGAGGTCGCAGAAAGTCACAGAATCTGTGACTTCCCTTTCCGCCGTGACAGACACGCAGCCCTAAGCATAAGCTACAGCGACGTCAGTAATAAAAATCTCTCTGCTTCTTCATATCTTATCTAAAGTCAGTTTGATTACTTTGTGTCTGGAAAAAAAATCAGAATAAACAACACGAAAGCTAAAAATTTACCCAGCTCTAGTATACAACACACTACATGGGTTTGGGATCATGTGGGATCAGAGACACCAGGATCTGAAAGTCAGTTATACTAGGCTTGCTTCTCATACTCTGAGAAAGCTCCATGGGCTGCAAAGATTCTTTAGCTGGATGATTTGGGACTCAAAATGCCTATATATTTATTAACTTATAACTTCCTAATGAACCCAGTACAGTCTACTTTCATTTTCCTATCTGCCTATAGATAGAATCCATATAAACTTATTTTCTTACTTCTGTGAGGAATAGCTAGCTTATAGATCCTTTACATTTAGCTGATCCAAACCTCTCTTTGAGACTCCCCGCCCCCTGCACCCCCCGACTCCTTGGGTGGAAATGATGAGCAATGCTGCAGCTTTTTGCATGCTAACCTTCAAAATACTATCTGCCTCTTAGTCCTTGCTTAGTGACTGCAGCAAGAGTGTGTTTCTTTCTCCTGGAGCATAAGAGAAAGGGTTCAGGCCAATTATTGACCTCCATTCCTCAAAAATGTAGCGGGGAGGGGGGGCATCTGTGGCATTATTTGATGCCCCTAAACGGACAACATGCAGAACAGGCAGCAATAGAATACTTGACGGCAAATTAGACACGGCTTTCCATAGATCATCTAGTCTAACTTCCTGCATAATACAGTTATTCATTTATAGGGACCAATAACTTGTGTTCGGCTGAAGCATAGCTTCCAGAAAGCCATCTGCTCTGGAGTTGAAGACTTCCAGGAGTGGAGAAGCCAACACTTCTCTTGGTAGCTTATTCCAATGATTAATCCCGCTTACTGTTAAATGTGTGCCTGTCTCACTTGAGTTTGCCTGGCTTTAACTTCCAGATGTTGGCTCTTGTTATGCCTTTCTTCTTTTGATTTAAAGAGCTCTTTAGTACCTGGTATTTTCTCCTTGTGAAGCTATTTAATGTCCACCATCACCAAGTCAATTCTTAGTCTTCTGTTAATAAGCTAAACAGATGGAGCTCTTTCCATCTCTTACTGACTTTTTTTCCAGGCCTCCAATCATCACAGTGGCTCTTTTCTGCACTCTTTCCAATTTTTTTCACATCTCTTTTAAAATGTGGATACCAAAACTGCAGGCACTATTCTAGGTAAAATAATCTCCCTACTTCTACTCACTACTTCCCTAATTATACATCCAAAGATCACATATTTTTGCCAGAGCATCTCACTAGAAGCTCATGTTCAATTTGCCTACTATGACCCCTATTTTTTTGGTCAGAGTCCCTGCTTTCCATGAGACAATTCCCCATTGTGTAGCTGAGGCCTGCTTTCTTTGCTCCTAGATGTCTGAAATTACAATCTGATAGGCTAGGAAAAAATACCAGTGAACTTTCATGTTGCATACACAGATATATCCTACCACAGATAACAATATATCATTCAGCTCTGGACAAGACATTAGTAGAATGACAGATAAATTGTAAAGTGTTGAGAGAAGAACTAAAAATGACTGGCAGGCTGAAGGGTGACAACTAATAAGAATGGGAAATGTTATCAGTCTACAAATATTCGAAGTGTGCAAATGTTAAAGAGGGAATGGAATTATTTACTGTGGGGTATGCAGACATAAGTGGTGATTATGGGATGAAAGTAAAGAAAACTTAGTTTGACTATCAGGAAAAGCTTTAAGTATTGAAATGTATTATTCTGTTCAATAGATTCCAAAGGCAAGTGGTGGAGGATCCACCTTCTGAGTCTTTTAAAACTAGACTGGACAAAACACTGGCAAAAATATTAATAAAATTATTCTGTGGGGAATAATCTTGCACTGATAGACATGGACAGGGTAGTCTAATTGACCATTTCCATATATAACTTCTGATTCTGTAATTCTATGATCTGGTGGATAAGCAGGTACTGTTTTTCACATAGTCAATTTTTTGAAGACATTTTTGCACCAAATGGTCATTCTCTAATAACTAAAGTATTAGTTACAACTAAAGTATTTGCATCAATCATCACCTTAGTGGGACTCTCATGAATAAAATTTTCTAGATTTTCCCCTGAAGCTTGAATATACATGGAGATTAGATTATGCCTGGACCGTCTCAGCCCAAAACAAATCCTACTCATAGGATAGGAGATGCACAAATTTGAAAAACCTTGCACTTGTAATTGCCTCTGATTTATACCTGTTCCACTGCAAAACAGAACATTTCAATCTTCAAGGCTCTATTTGGAACCTTTAATGAATACTGAGGGCATGATCCAAAGCCCACTGAACTCAACAGAAAGCCTCCCATTGACTTCAGTGGGCTTTGGATCAGGCCCTAAATTCACTTTTGGAAAATAAAATAAACGGTCGGATCTAAAGATAATGAGCCCTTCAAAAAACAATAGGATTATTCACGCACCATGAAAATACATTAAAAGAACATTAAGGATGTGATGCAAAACAATAAATGTGAAAGAATTTAGTTAAGAGCAATGTTTGCCATATGCTTTACAACACATTGGCACAATGCAGTACATTTGAAAAGTACACCCTGTTGTGACTAGGTGTAGGGTGACATGTGGTAGCCCTACTTTCTTGACTTAGAATTTCCTTTCATATGGCTTTGTGTCACAATTCTGCTTTTAGCATACTCTGATAAATTCTCTTTTTAATAGGTGGATAAAAATTCACCAAGATGTACAAAATTTAGAGAATAGGCTAAAAAAAAAATCTGAGGATTTAGGTGCCAAGTTTCAACCCAGGTTGAGGTCCAGTGTCTCCTCTCCAATTCAGATCATGGATCAGTGCAGAATGAATGCAGACTGCAGAATGGATAATGTCACTCATAATGCAAGTGAGAGAGAGAGAGAGAGTACTTTTTCCTACCCCATTGTAATATTGTAGCATCTGCAAATAGTGGGGTCTTTTTTAGAATGAAAGGCCATGTCATAATGCTACAGACTTCTATGTCAATGATTTTGCAGTCCATTTTAATAAGTTGTTCTCAATGACCTAGAGTGGCTTCTAAACATTATCTTCATTGGCTTTATTCTCATAGGCCACTGGGTTTCAGAAGGCCTCTGCAATGAAGTGGTAGATAAGTTGGTGAATCAGCTGAAGTTTTGTCCTGGCTTTCACTCACATCACCAGCAGCCAAGCCTGGAAGTGAGGAACTCATGCATCACTGTGTCAAGGTCTGCATCCTACACAGATTCCTGGTTAGTTGGATATGTAAAAGTGTTTCTAGATATACTGGCTAGACTAGAGCTGGGTGTGAAAGAGTTTTACTAACTCATAAACATTTTAGATTTCAAGAAATGCTCCTGTTCTCCATCAGGATACAATGACACCTTTCAAAATTTGTCATGGAAAAGTGAGAAAGGGAGACCTTTCCCAGAATAGCCAAAGTATAGGATTTAGGGCACTCAACTGGCGTGTAGAAGATGCAGGTTCTATATGCATCCCAAGTGAGTGCCCTAACTACAAGGCTATTAGCTATTCTAATACCTATAGCAACAGATATTTCACAAAGCTGAAAACAATTATGAGCCAAATCAACTGAGATGAAGAACATAATAAAAAAAAACGTGAATGATATTTGGGAATCATTTAAGAACACCTTACTAGATGCCTAACAAGCCACAATCCTGCAACTGATTAAGAAGATTGAGCTGCCTAAATAAACTACCTCACGTAGAGGAGAAGTGAAGGAAGCTATAAAAATATATATTAACAAATGGAATAAAGGGGAATTTGATAATAATTAATATAAATCAGAAGTTAGGAATTGTAGAAAATTGATAAGGGAAGCAATAGGACAGAGTCTTCTATGCCAGAATACTTAAGGACAATAAGAAGGAAATTTTAAAAATATTTGGAAAAAGAATCCTGATAATGGTATTGGTTCATTACTAGATGGAAATGATAGAATAATCAGTTATTCAGAAAAGTCAGAAGTGTTTAATAAATATTTATGTTTTGTATTTGGGGAAACAACAGATGATATAGTCTCAACATATAGTGATGATAAAATCTTTCCATTCCACGAGTATCTCAGGAAGATGTTAAAAAAAACATCTAATAAAGCCAAACATTTTTAAATCAGCAGGTCCACATAACTCACATCCAAACATTTTAAAAGAGAAGGCTCAGGAGCTTTCTGGACCTTTAACATTAATATATTCAATAAGTGTCGGACCACTGGGGAAGTTCCTGAATAGTGGAAGAAAACTAATGTTTGTGGCATTTTTTTAAAAAAAGGTAAATTGGATGATGTGGCTTATTATAGATCTGTTATCCTGACGTCAATTTCAGATGAGGTAAAGATGCAGCTGATATGGGACTTGATTAATCAAGAATTAATGGAGGATGATGTAATTAATGAGAATCAATGTGGGTTTATGGAAAATAGATCCTGTAATACTAACTTGATATCTTTTTGGATGAGATTACAAGTTTGGTTGATAAAGATAATGGTGCTGATGTAATATACTTAAACTTCTGTCTGGCATGTGAGTTGCTACGTCACAATATTTTGATTAAAAAATAGATTGATATAAAATTAACATGGCACACATTAAATGGATTAAAAACTGGCTAACTGATAGGTCTCAAAATGCAATTGTATTGGGGAATTGTCATCAAGCAAATGTGTTTCCAGTGGGGGCCAGGAGGGATTGGGTCTTGGCCCTCCCTTATTTAACATTTTTTATCAATTACCTGGAAGAAAACACAAAATCATCACTAGTAAAGTTTGCAGCTGACCCAAAAATTGAGGGAGTCATAAATAATCAAGAGGATAGGTCACCACTGATTCAAAGCAATCTGGATAGTTTGGTAAACCGGGCGTATGCAAAAATATGCATTTTGGTATGGCTAAATGTATACCTCTATGAAGAAAGAATGTCAGCCATATTTACATGATTGGGGACTCTATGCTGGGAAGCAGTGACTCTGAAAAAGATGTGCAGGTTGTGATAGATAATCAACTGAATGTGAACTCCCAATGTGACACTGGCCAAAAGAGCTAATGTGAGTCTAGGATGCATAAACAGGGGTAGGAGCAGAGAGGTTATTTTACCTCCATATTTGGTACTGGTGTGACCACTGCTGGAATACTGTGTGCAATTCTGGTGCCCACAGTTTAAAAGGATGTTGATAAATTGGAAAGGATCTTGAGAAGACCCATGAGAATGATTAAAAGATTAGAAAACATTCCTTATCGTGTTCGATTCAAAGATCTCAATCTATTTAGCTTAACAAAGATAAGGCTAAGGGATGACTTGATTACAGTCTATAAGTATCTACATAGGGAACAAATATATAATAATGGGATCTTCAATCTGGCAAAGAAAAGCCTAACAAGGTCCAGTGGATGGAAGTTGAACCTAGACAAATTCAGACTATGAGAGTAATTAACCACTGGAACAATTCACCAAGAGTTGTGGTGGATTCTCCGTCACTGACCATTTTAAATCAAGATTGGATGTTTTTCTGACAGAAATGCTCTAGGAATTATATTGGGGCAGTTCTATGGCCTTTGTTATGCAGGAAGTTAGTCTAGATGATCACAATGATTCATTCTAGCCTTGAAATCTATGAATCTATGATTTCTGGTGTCTTGTGATGGGGTATATACCCCATCCTGGCTGAATCTGAAGGGTGGGTCAGCCACAGTTAAAGATGAGTTCCACCTGGGAGATGAGCTGAGTGGTGATTTTAAAGGAAGTCTGGAGCAGAAGGCAGCTGGCTGGCTGAGCTGGGGCTGAAGTTGGTCAGGCGAAGCTTTAGGCTGGCTGTGCAGGCTGAGAGAGTCTGAGAACTGGGGCTTTGAGTGGCAGATAGGTGGCTGAACAGAGCTGGAAATACAGACTGAGAGGGAGAGGCTGAAAGTTATGTTGGAAAATGAGGGAGAAGAAGCTAGGGATGAGAAATGCTTCAGATTAGGAAGAAGAAAAGACTAGAAATATCCGTATCTGAAGAAATGGCAGCAGACAGGGATGGAAAAAAGTGTAAGTGAAGATGTAAATATAGTGCACGTTATTCACTTGAAACAAGTGGAATGGATTAGGCAAGATATCAGATATATTAAGAGCAAAAAGAATGCAGCATGGAGATTTATTAAAAGCATTTACACATAAGGAACAGGCTGAAGAACTTATTAAAACTACAACTTATCAGCTACCTAAATTTGTGATAGAAGCAAAAGGGATAATGAATGGGGTTCCACTAGGCATGACTGAGGATGAAATTGAAAAGGGGATAGGTAAGGACCAAGTGCTGTTTGTTAAGCAGCTAATTAGGAGGAAACGGGGAGAACACAAGCCATCCAGAGCCATCCGAGTATCTTTTAAAGATTCAATGGTACCCAATAGGGTTAATATAGGATATCATTTATTCTGGGTTAAACCATATATCCTGGCCCCTCTGAGATGTTATAATGTCAAAGGTTTGGGCATGTGGTGGCTGGCTATAAGAGGAAAATGTGGTGTCATGAATATGGAAGAGAACACTTGTATGAGAATTGTATGGAAAGGTGGCTGGCTATAAGAGGAAAATGTGGTGTCATGAATATGGAAGAGAACACTTGTATGAGAATTGTATGGAAAGGTGGCTGGCTATAAGAGGAAAATGTGGTGTCATGAATATGGAAGAGAACACTTGTATGAGAAAGGAGGTGGCTGGCTATAAGAGGAAAATGTGGTGTCATGAATATGGAAGAGAACACTTGTATGAGAATTGTATGGAAGGAAGAGAACTAAAATATCTCAGTTGTGGGGGTAAATATAGTGTATCATACAAAAGGAGTGTGGCAGTGGAACAAGCAAGAGAGATACAGAAAATTACAACTATCCATAAAATATCCTATGCCGAAGCTATCAAAAGAGATTCATAGCAGAATGTGGAACAGGAGGAAAAATGCCAGTGAGGGAAAAGAGCTATTGGTACCACAACACACAGTTCAGGGCAGGGAAGATAATATAAGGAGAATAGATGAAGATGTACTGCTTGCAGGCAAAGAGAAATGTATGCCATTTATGAGAGAAGTGATTAATTGAGCTTTACGGGCAGGGAAGAAGATTGAAAGGATAAAAAAGTATAACAAAAGCAGTAGAGAAACATTTGCATATAGGCAATCTCTCGATAAATTGCATTCATAACATTTTAAATGAAGGTAATAATGTAGTTTAAACATGGTTCTAATGGTTATTTTTGCTGGAATGCACATAACTCCTGACCATGTGTTATTAAACTAAAGAAACTGGTTTTTAAATGGAAAACAAACCTGACACGATGTGTACAAGAAACATGGCAGGTGAGAAAGCTTATGTTTAGATTTTCAAGATATGATGTAATCAGACGTGACAGAGTAATAATGGGGGGGGGGGTCTGTATATTTTTAAAGGAAGGTCTTAGTTATGTTGACATAGATGTACAAAACTTAAGTTTTGAGTACAACACTGTAAGAGATTCCTGTGCAGAATAGTAGCACCTTTATATGAATCTAGTGTTTGCAACTCAAGTAAAATAATTAGGCAATCTAGAATCAGGAGAGTTAGTTAAGGATATCAAAGGCCTGTACATCTGTGGGGACCTTAATAGCCATAATGACTTATGGAGAAGCAGGAAAACTGACTAAAAAATGGGAAATACCTGGAACAATTAATTGACAAGCACAACCTGTCATTGCTCAATACTGGAGCACCTACTAAATTTAGTTTGGTGGATGGAACCTTTTCCTGTTCAGAGCTGGGGATTCCAAAAAGCAATATAGCAAGTAAATGCAGCTGGGCAATCTATAAAGAAGATGGAATAGGAAGTTATCACTTCTCTATGCTAATTATATATCAAGGTCAAGGAAATGTTGAAAACACTGAAGGAATTCCTACTTGGAGCCAAAGGAAAGCAAATTGTGGACTCTTTAAGTGTAAGAGTGGTGAGTATCTAAATACCAAATGTATAAGTGATAATCTAGAGGAATTTTATCGTAGTATAATATAGGGAAGGTGTAAGAGCAGCCAATCCAGCTATATGTAAGATATTCCATTGCTGCAAATTCAGAAGTGCAGTTCCCAGGTGGAATGGAGATGTTCCCCGGTGGAATGTAAATCAGCAATTAAAGAAAGAAATAAGACATACAAACAAATAAAAGTTACAATGAATAGCAAAGACTTAATGAACTATACAAGATGTA